ATTTTTATACTATGATTAATGTCAAAATAAATAAACGATTTGTTTCACATTTATATAAAAATAATATTACAACACGTTAGATAGCTTTTGAATTATTCCTTTATTTTATAGATAATAGACGAGTTAACGTCATACAAGAACTAGACACGGTGAAAGACCATCCGCTGTGTCATTTGAAGTGATAAATGATTGGACTGCAATGCACCATTTCGCAATGCATATATTTTAACCGACTTCAAAAAGGAGAAGGTTCTCAATTAGTGTTTGTTTTTTGGATGCATGTTACGCGATATCTTCGCAGATTGTGAACATACTTTAATGACTTTTTTATATAGGATAGGGTGACACAATTAACCTGATGGTAAGTGGTTGCTGTAGCCTATAGACATCTACATCTATCCTCGCTTGCGAATCAAAACGCAGATGCGTTGTCACCCGTGAGGACTAAGATAGAATGCCTCTTTTCCAGTAAAAAGGGTCTCCGGATCTTTACACTCACCATACGAAATACCGCTGTGTTAAGCTGCCATTTTACGCTGGTATTCTGTGAGAACGTGGTCCTTCCCCGGTCGAACCGACCCATTCGTGCTACAACTATACTACTAAGATAGCTGCAGCATGGCTCTATTTTTATACATTTATTTAAACGTTCATAGACAAATTGGACACATGGATTAAGTATACAAGTATTAAGTAAGACTAAGTACACCAGTCTTACTTAATACTTGTAGCATTTTCTACTAACTAGGCTATATACGGGTGATGCCGTAAAATAAATTAAATCGAAAATCATATAAATAGTCAGATATTACATTTATACAGTAATAATTTTATACACTCGTAGTTACGAATAAATTATTTCCAACATGATTTTGCCGTTTTATTAACTTTTAACTGGTTACTTGCGGTATCACAGGCCAAGCGGCGCAAGCGAAACATCATATCACCCCGTGCTCGCACTTCCCGTGTTCGAGCTCTAATTTCTGTGATGTTAATGCTGTTAGCCTATACGGCTCTTACAGCTTCATCGAACTCAGAGCTCGCAGCCTGAAAGGCAAATATATGTATAAGAAAGTGGGGGTGGGGGAGATTATTTATTTTAGTACAACGTTGCGGACGCGACGTTGCACTAAAATCGATAATATTGAGGGAGTGGGATAATATTTTGTTGAATGATCACATCATCATCATATCAATATCAAATACTCCTTGGAGTCGCCGGAAACCGCAACATGACATGGGTGATTTGTCTAACCGCCGTCCGGACAAGGGAGCGGACCACGGCTCTGACGACTAATTCGTATCGTTCGATGTTCTGGGCGGTGAGAACCGCTCAGCGACGCGGGTGTACTGTGTGTACGCGGTGTGGAGGGGTGTGACATGATGCGTCTTACGCACGCTTTATAAAGGTGGAGCTAGTGCCTTAAGGACAATTTGCTCTTGCTGTTATCTATCCGATGGAGGCAATTAGTGATGAATTTGGCACGGTTTCGGACATCGCAAATGTGCTTCGCGAATGTCATACCTTGGTCGAATGTATATGATATGAGTATGAAGTATCTCTTAATACAAATTATACGAGTATGTAAGATTTACTTGACCGTGTAGTGGCAGTGTAAGAATTCACTACCCCGTGTCATCCCGTGGGTGTTAAAAGATGAAGAAACCCAGTAGATGGGCAGCAGAGTCTTTCTTATACAAACTAAAAACTAAAAACATGTGTGCAGTTTACACGCGGTTTAAGTGAAACCTTCAAAGAAGGAGACCAAAATGATAGAAAATAATGTTTCTGTTTTTTTGTTTTAGTGCCACTTTTTCGTTTCTCGATTCTAAAGAAGTTTTCACTTGAAATAACTGCGGCACATATCTATCCCTCCTATGATTATTCTTTGGTAGTAGCCTGTTATCAGCGGTGGTTTTTTAAAAGATTATAACGGTATCGTTTACGGTAACATTAGGTAAACCTAATCAGAAACGGCACAACATGTATTTATTTTGTAATTACCAAAAGCGTTTAGTGGTAGTCTTACGTAGCATATCCATGCTGCTGCTATATTAGTGGTATAGTTGTAGTACGAATAGATCGCATGCTGTCACTGAATAACAGCGTAAATTAGCAGCTTAACGCTGATGTGTCTCACAGATTACCCTTATACTGAAAACGAAACATTACCTCTCAGTCCTCACGAGTCATAGCGCATATACATTTTGATTCATAATAAAGGACAGATGTGGTTGTTTATGGGCCACAGCAACCACTTTCCATCAGGTGGACCTTATGCTCGTTTGTGACCCATCTATACAAATAAATAAAATTGAAGCGTCTGTTTGTAATGTCAAAATAATTGCTTTTTACTAATTGCATATATTATATGTACGGTACCTATAACAAAAACACAATTTTTAAATTTTTTGTCTGTCTATCTGTCTGTCTGTCTGTCTGTTTGTTCCGACTAATCTGCGAAACGGCTGGACCGATTTTAACGTGATTTTCACAGGTAGAGAGCTCATTTTATAAGGAGTAAATTAGGCTACTTATATCTTAGAATAATAATTAGGGTTCCGCTCAGCAAAATAAAAACCATACATTACACGCGGGCGAAGTCGCGGGGAACAGTTAGTATCCTATAAAAAACCTTATTGAAAATAAACCGGAACACGAGCGTTTGAGTTAGTTTAAATTGATAAAAATTACTTATTGGAATGGTCGTCTCTATTAAAGACACCTGAAAATAATGAGTTAAATAGTAAATAAACACGTTATCAAGATAACAAAACAAATACAAAAAGAAAACAGGTTCCTTCTTATCAATTTACTATAAAATTTACTATGCAGGAAAAAAGTAAAGTTTTATCTTGAACTGAATACTTCCGAACGTACTCAAGGAAAATTAGATAAAAAGAACCAATTTATTTACGCTGTGCCATTATAAAGACTTACACAAGATAAAAGTCATAAAGCAAATTTGTAATAGGAAATGGAAAAAGAAATAGCAGTAGCTACAATAATATGGTTGAAAATATCTTTTTTTACATTTAATTAATCTTTGTCTTCAAATGTTTCATTCATCCATTTATTCATTCATAACATCCTATCGAATGTCCACTGTTGAAACTTATGTTACGTATCGATTGTCTCTTAGAGGGGATATTTTGGATTATTTTTATTATTTTATATTTTTTGTTTAGTAGTCTCTTTATTTTGTGGTAGTATTGATAGTCCGTAACGAGGTAATGCGCAGACAAACAAGAGTACCTGCCCAGTATATCAGTAAGCTGAAGTGGCAGTGGGCAGGCCATGAGGCTCGAGTAACCGACAACTGAAAGTTCTCGGTTGGCAGCCTCATAATGGCGAGCGCATTGATAGGCGACCCCCAATTAGATGAAGTGATGTCCTTATAAAACATACCGACAGTTTATTGATAGATAGCTTTAATACATATAATTTTCAAAAAATAAAAACAAACAAATCGGTTAGTGTCAATTATATAAAATTTTGTACAAAAATTAAAAAAAAAATGTGATAGTTTCGATAAAAATCGGTGTCATGCTGATGCAGGTGGCCCGGTACTTTCTAGTAATCTATAGAGGAGGCCTTGTTCAGCAGTGGAATTGCGATAGGCTGTAATTAAGGTAATTGTGATAGTGTCAGTCGTTCCTGATACGTTCTGAGTAGGAAGACCGCCAAGCTCTAAACGAATTTTACCAAACCGAAAAATAATGGGCACAGCTTCGCACTTAATATTCTCGATTATAAGAATAAATACAATACATTGAAACAGCACTAACTTACTAATATAATAATTATATATAGTCATGATTAGCATTATCTGTTTTGTACTTTAAATAGTATTACAAAATATAACACGAAAATTATATATTTCTAAAGATGTCATTTTTATAAATAATAAACCCTAAACCTAAAAAATGTATCGTTCCTTTTGTAGTTTTCAAATAATACTCAAAAAATATTAAGGATTATTATCCTTAACAAAAGGCAAAATCTAAAAGTTATCATGAACATTAATAAATTTTAATAGCGATGAATAGTCACTCATATTTAGTTTCCTTGAAAGCTGATAGCTTGTTATATAGAAATAATTTATACTTAATATTTTATGGTTTATAATGAGATTAATATGAAATTAATATTATGACGAAATATTATTATATTGGTAGGTTACCGTTACCGTTACGGCCTATCCACTGCTGAACATAGGGCTCCCCCATAGATTTCTTCAACGGCATATTTGCCATAGTTGCTATGCTTGGTAAGGGGGTTGGCATCTGCAGTTTTTTTTAAATAATAGTTTTTATAAGAAGACGGTGCTAGCCATCTCCTAGTCTGTATACCTTATTCGCATCTTACGACACCCAGGGAACGATATGGGGTAATGAATATTCTAAAATCATCACTACTACGCGTGTTGAATTATTGGTCAAAAGGTAAATATCACTCATTTTAATAAATCCTTTATTTATGTATTTTTGCATAGAAAAAAAAACAAACATTTTATATATATATATATACATTACAACTTACATAAATTCTCGACAGTATAGTTACAGTGTTCGATTATTAGTAATATAGGGTCCAAAATGTAAAAATATAATATTTTAAAAATATGAACAGTCTTCAACAATGTCATCAAATGTCATTTTTGTTTGAATTATTGCCGGTGTTCCATTTATTTAATCGTGTTCTATTAAGATAAAATGCTATTGTTTGTAATTGCAAACGTCAAGGTGTTCTATGTGCTACAGTATGAACTTCAAATTGAAACAGTTATCAACGTCTTTACTTCCGGTGTTCCATTTATTTAATCGTGACAGTTATGGAATTGTTATGTTATACAAGTACGATAAAATGCTATTGTTTATAATTGCAAATGTCAAGGTGATGCTACAGTATGTGCTACGAGTATGGACGAGAATCACTGGAAGCACTTTAGTCTGTATTGCGAGAACTGACAGTACACACGTTTTAAAAATTGTTTACAATGAAAATATCAACAATAATTTTTATGATTGTAACTGTTATAGCTGTTCGAGGAAACGACGATTGTGAGTGATTAATTTTTTTTTTTACTTATTGCCTTATTTAAATTTTAATTAATACTTTTATACATATTATTTTATTAACAATGCTCTGTTAGTCTCTATTTTACTATAAACACAATATACCTATAATGTTTATAGGTGGCAACACAACATTAGTCTTCTTTGCTTGAAGTCAGCTGCAGGTGTCCATGGAGTTCAGTTGTTTTAATTAAGTTATGAAATTAATAGAACTCAGAGTATGTTAACGTTTCAAAGCGTAAACTGTTTGCGGTATGTACCGTAAGTAGTCTGAAAACTATGAACTGTCGTAATAGTAAGATTGAAAACGCATATCTTCGACAAAATGAACTGGTATTGTGACTCTGCGGTGATCTCTGATATGTATTGAAATTAATAGTTATTAAACCCGATATTAGCAAGCGAAACGATCGATATCGGTAAACCGGTATAAATTGATCGATAATATTCTGAACGGTCACTCCAGTTAAGCTTAAAAAGATTGTAATAGCACTGAGTGTTCCACGACGATAGTCGAATGGCAAATTTGTACCCACTACTTTAAATTATTGTAGTCCGTACTCTCTAGCCTACTGTTGTTTTTTTATGATAATAGTGGCAAACGGTCTAACAGTATGCAGCTCATAGACATCTGCAATCAAATTCAACCAAAGAAGGCGTTGGTAAAATGAACAAACTATAATTGTACTAACATTCTTACTCTACACATCGAATTACAGCATTGGGTTGGCTGTTTTTTTAATTAATCTTAAAAAATGTACACATATTAATATATTTACCGACATGATATCTCCAAACTGTATAACAGTTTGTTGGCGAAATTACAATTATTGTAAGAAACTAAAATATAACAACAAGTTCCTTTTAACCTTTTTAACAATACGCCCTACTACAAAAGTAAGGCGTGATCCATTTCGACGTTCCCTACTTTTTTAAAGAAAAAAACACAGAAAATTCAAATTTAATGGAGAATGTTTATAATCATTTGAAAGAACATTCTTTGGCATTTATTTTTTGAAGATTATGTCTATCAAATGTTGGCCGTTGCTACGTCGCAGATGGTCCATCAGTTTAGTCCAATTTTCGATGACTCGTTCGAGCATTTCGACTGGTAACTAGCGAATGACACGCGTGATGTTTTCCTCCAAGGCCTGAATCGAAGCGGGTTTGTCCGCATAAACTTTAGACTTTACATATCCCCACAGAAAAAAGTCTAACGGTGTGATATCACGCGATCTTGGTGGCCAATCGACCGGCCCAAAACGTGAAATTATGTGCTCACCGAAATGTTCTCTCAATAAATCCATTGATTGATGCGATGTGTGAGAAGTGGCACCGTCTTGCTGAAACCAAATGGCGCCGAGATCACGAGCTTCAATTTAAGGCATCAAATAGTCGGTTATCATGGCACGATAACGGTCGCCATTGACGGTTACTTTCGCACCGGCATCATTTTTAAAGAAATATGGACCGATGATTCCTCCGGCCCACAAACCACACCAAACCGTTGTTTTTTCTGAATGAAGTGGCAGTTCTTGAATCTCTTTAGGTTGTTCTTCGTCCCAAATGCGGCAATTTTGTTTGTTTACATACCCATTGAGCCAGAAATGGGCCTCATCGCTAAACAAAATTTGCCTCGAAAACGTCGGATCTTCTTGGAACTTTTCAAGAGCCCATAGAGCGAAGCGATATCGCTTGGGAAGGTCGAGCGGCTTCAGTTGTTGCACAAGCTGTATTTTGTATGCTTTCAATTTAAGATCTCGACGTAAATGCGCCAAGTCGTTCCATACGACAGTCCGAGTTGCTGCGAACGGCGCCGAATCGACTCTCCACGGTCTTCGTGTACACTCTCAGCTACGGCCGCTATATTTTCTTCACAGCGTGCTGGACGTGGTCTATTCGGTGAAATATTATCCAATAATGAATGCTGGGTCTCAAAATGGGTGATGGTGTTGCGAATAGTACGCTCAGTAGGCCGATTATGTTGGCCATATGTTGAGCGAAGTGCACGAAACACATTCCTCACAGAACGTGAATTTTCGTAATAAAGTTGAACGATTTGTAAACGTTGTTCAGGCGTAAGTCTTTCCATTATGAAATGCCAAACAATACTAAACAAAAATAACATGACAACATGACACGACTCACACATGATCTGTAAAAAAAAGGCTATTGAAAAAAGTATCTCTACTTGAATCACCCTTTACATATTATTATGGACGTTTTATTGCATAAAAAACATTTAATTTCGATTAAATATTCTAGTAAATACCGTTTTAATTTATTGTTAGCATAATTTTTAGAATGGTTTAATAATTATAATTTTGTTAATCTATTAGTCACTCCATATATAACGTTTACATCTATTTCCATAGTAATTTTGAGAGGCTTTTAGTTGGCAGAAAAAGGCAAACAGGATAATTAACCCAGAAAGACGCCAATGCAGAATAAGAACCTTGTCGCCAATGAAACTACGACCAGCTTTATTAACCCGTATCTGATGTAATGAGCGATTAGAACGGAATGTGCTTGGATACGATATCAAAAAAAACGTATATTCCACGTATAAAACGTAAGATTTTTGTATTGGTGACACAAAAAATCGTACGTTTACTTGCGATAGAATAGTAGTCCACAATTAAATATTTTGAATACTAAGATAAAGGAATGAACTGTTTCTGTTTCTTTTAAATAACATTTCCAGTGGGCTATTTCAAAATTTTAGACAGTTATCTTACATCTTCTATTTCTTTTACCTTAAGTAATTTACCTTAGCAAGAAAATAGAAGAGTTGTTCTAAGCAATATTACACAAATTTTTGTACATTAGTCGCTCATGAAACAATTAGTAAGGTTTTAGAACAACAGTTCGAATCTGTTATTTTTTAAAACCTGATTCTCCTGATTAGATAAAAACAATCATAATATTATGTCGTAGTTATTTAAAAAAACAATAGGTACGTAACTAATTTTAATTCATCTTATAAAATTTACACGCAGTTGCGTCTTATTAAGCAATAAACAAGTGACCATATGACAAGGTGGCATTATATTATAAAATAGATTGTTTAAAAGAACCGTTCCATAGGTGATATGAAATTTTAATCCAACACATTTTCAATTTAGTTACGTACGACATATTAAGAATATAATATATTAGGAGCTGTTACGTCAGGATTTGTAAGATTTATTTCTCAATACCGATGGGATAATGCCTGTGTTTAAACTTTCAATTATATTATTTCTGTTTACAGTAAACATTTAAGGTCATCCTTTAGTTAGGTACCGAAACAATTAAAATAAATTGTTTTCCTTGATGATGTAACTAGTGTGTTTACGATCGAAGTATTCATTGTTATTATTTTCACGGTCGTACATTTAACAGATAGTACACAGTACAGTAAGAACATTATTAGCTAATTTTATCTGTTTACCGTGTAGTGGCAGCTACACCATTTAATCTCGTGGTTGTCGTAAGAGGCAACAGAGACCAACTAAAACAGGAGAAGGGCAGCAGAATCTACCTATAAAATAACTGCGGTTGACTACCAGCTCACCAAGCGTTATGGTAAATATCTAATGGTTCACCAAAAGGTCTATGTTCAGCAGGGAAATTTAAAAAGGTAGTAATGATGATGTTGATTATAACGACTGAACAGATATTCATTCGTTACAGCATGTCAAAATCCACTGCTGAACATTGGGCTACCCCATGGATTGCCTCATAAGGCGCATATATATCATAGTTGACACGCTTGTAAGACGGGTTCGCAGATACCGTTTTCCTTTTGTAGTTTTATATCAAGAAGTTGCTGCTGAACACCGCCTGGTTTGTTTCTCTCTGTCGCCTCTTACGAAACTCACGGGACTATATTGGGTAGGGGATATTCTTGCACCGCGACTACACGGTAAACAAATAAACTAGGCTTTTAATTTCTTATTTCATTGGTTAAAATCTTATTAGTCTTAGTCATGCTAAGGCTCCATATAGCGGCCATATAGCGCGAAGAATCGACAACCGATGGAAAAAAAGGTTCTTGAGTGGCAGCCTCGTACCGGTGGACGAAGTGTAGGACGACCCCCCACTAGATGGAGTGACGACGTGGTAATACATGCAGGAAGTCGATAGACGCAGCTGGCTCATGACCGTGCTTTGTGGCATTCCTTGTGGCCTATATTCAGCAGTGGACTTGTGAAGGGCTGTGAAGTGTGTAGTGTGTGAAGGAATGATGATGAATGATGATGATCCTAAGGTTACCTATTCAATTTCAAACCCACTTGACCAGTTTTATTTGTATAGAACAATTATATTTGTATATTTATAGTAACGGGAAATTTCTACATGTTATTTTTTATAGGATAGGGTGACAAACGAGCGCACAGTCCACCTGATGGTAAGTGGTTGCTGTGGCCCATAGACATCTACATTTATCCTCGTTTGCGAATCAAAATGCAGATGCGTTTTCACCCGTGAGGACTAAGATGGAATGCCTCTTTACCAGCAAAAAGGGTCTCCGATTCTCTACACTCACCATATGAAATGCAGCAGTGTTAAGCTGCTATTTGACGCTGGTATTCTGTGAGAGCGTGGTCCTTCCCCGGTCGAGCCGACCCATTCGTGCTACAACTATACTACTAATATAGCTGCAGTATGGCTCTACCACGTACGAAATATATATTAAAGAAGATCAACAGGTGCTTTAAACAGAATTTTAGACATTATTTCATGAGTACAAATAAAGTAAAACACTTAAGCAACAAGTCAGTCGCGCCCTAAATACGAATTTAACTACAATTTTACAATAGTTGCTGCAAAATTGAACTTTTATTAAAAAGTAAAAGCCGAGTTCAAAACAGAGCCTTTTTTATATTAGTATAGTTGTAGCACGAGTGAGTCGGCTCGACCGGGACAGTGCTTTATTTAATCCTAATCGAGGATAGATGTAGATGTCTATAGGCCTCAGCATCTACCTACCAATATGTGGACTGTGTGTCGTTTGTCACTCATATACTAAAAAAATTATAAATATAGAAAAAAAAAACTATAAGTTTTTTTCAAAATCATTTTCTAAAATATATTAATGCCGTGGTAACTTAAAAATAGGCCAATCGACATAAATTTTAAAATATGCGTGACAATTAAGTCGCATTGTTGGCCCTTGCAACACTGAACTTTGTATATCCTCTATTTTACCTTGGATCCTTCTAGTAAGTCTAAAAGAAAACCTGTCTCAGAATTGTCCACTCCTCTACATTTTAATTTAGTTAAAATTGAAATCTTCTATATCAGTCATTTAATACATTCAAAGGATTAACGGCGATTATAAAAGGTAATTAATTAGTGCTTATAGCATGGTGAATGATGCGTGCGTGCTTGTGTGTGTACTTGCGTGCTTACTTTAAGTAAAAGAAATAAAAAGGAGTGAAAAATGTGCACAACTTTTAAAAGCACACTGAGGCGTTTTTTTGTGTATTTAGATGTATACACTAGAAGTCGAAAAAGTTTTATTTAATACTAGCTGTACCCCGCGACTTCGCTCGCGTGTTAGGGTTTTTATTTTTTTGTGCGGAACTCTAATTCTTTTTCTAAAATAAAAGTAGCCTAAGTTAATCCTTATGACATCAACTATCTGCCAGGGAAAATCGCCATCCCGTCAAAATCGGTCCAGCCGTTTTGGAGATTAGCCGGAACAAACAGACAGACAGACAGACGGACAGAAAGACAAATATTTTAAAATTGTATTTTAATTATAAGAACCGTATTTAATTTCATATGCATTTAGTAAACAGTTGTTATTTTGACATTACAAATAATAAAAAAAAAAAAACTTCAGTTTTATTTATTTGCGTAGATACTACAACTTTTCACACAGAGTGACACTGTGTAACAAATAAATTTATTTCAGTCCCAACTAGCGACATCTGGTGAGCGGTAAGTTATTAGCCACATTTTCAGTTAAATTCATTGAATTAAGTCTAAAAAAATTTATTTTAGTCCGAACGATCGACAGTATCAGACAGGAAGCACCATGTTCGTCGCAAGGCATATGCACTATAGCAGCTGATTGTCCTAAAGGTAAACTCGTGGAACAATCAGGATTATGTCCAACGCAAAGAAGTCAAGGAGTCGAATGTTGTTATGGATGTAAGAAATTTAACATTATTTCAATTATTAGGGTATTTATAAAATATTCTCACCTGGTTGGACTGAATAAATATATAAGAGGAAATCATAAATATACATAAATATATATTAAATATACTAACGCAAATAAATAATACATAAATAAAAGCCCAACCAGATGGAAACCAAATGGCCAAGGGGCAAGGGGAAAGAAATCGGCGAACGATGCTGCGGCGGGCTGTATCGATTTATTTCAGTTATTTTTATTCTATATGAAATCAACCATATTTTTTTACGTGGTAGAGTCACGCTGCAGCTATATTATGGTTGAAGCACGAATAGGTCGGCATGACCGGTGTGGAATCATATTCTCACAGAATACCAGCGTAACATAGCAGCTTAATGCGTGTTTTGTAATCGTAAATGTTTTTTACCGGAAATGAGGCATTCCATCTTTGTCCTCAGGGGCGACAACATATCTGCATTTTGATTCTTAATCGAGTCTGTGAGCCTCATTATCCACTTACCATTAGGTTGACTGTGTGCTCGTTTGTCATAGTTATTTTAAAAATAAATAATATTTTAAAAAAGAACTAAAAAAACGCTTTTCTAAATAACCGACGCTTAAAATAAGTAATTGGTGAACATAAAAAATCATTTTATTGTCATAAAAGCGTGGGTTTTTTAAAATAAGAAATACATATAAATGAAACTAGCTTTTACGGATTTATGGCGTATGTTAAATTATTTTATATTCCCGACGTTTCGAGTATCTTACTGCTGTAAAGTACTCAAATTTTATAGTACGTGGATACCCTAAATTTAATCAACGCCAGTACCGATGAAATTCTAAATTGCAATTTAAATTTTAAGTATTTACTTATTTTCCAAGTACTCAGCTGTGACAGAAAACATCATGAGAAAATCTGCACGCCTGAGAGAAAAAATATATCGAGAACGTGTGAAGCCCGTTCGACTTATGTGGACTAAGTTACTCATAAATGAGATGAAACCAGCTGTGGGGCATAACAGAGGGTTATTTTGCAATAACCGGCCAAATTTGTAGAGAAGGTTCAATAAATAATATAGGCAAACTGAGAAGGAAAATTTATTTAACAAATCTCATCTATCCTGCCTATTTTATCTCTTAAATTCAGAATGCGTGGTTATGCGTAATTTTAACTGATTGTCATTCATAAATATCTATGATACTATGCACGCACATATTCGTTGGGCTCGATCGGTCGGCAAAAACGTGAATTGAATCGCACACAGAGGAACGCGAATACGCATAGTTGTTTCCCATAAATCACATTCAATTTGGGATAACTTCAAACAAATGTAGAAGCCTTATTTACTGCAATAATGGTATATCGTTTTTTATATGTTTTAACTTAAGTTTAAAGTTCGCGTACTCTTTGAAAAATAACCCTGTATAGGCTGTTACTTTTCAACCGACTTCAAAAAGGAGACAGTACTCAATTCGACAGTATTTTTTTATAAAGTATGTAATGGTTACTTTTAATTTCAGTGTCGGTGAAAGAAACACGTTGTAGGAAACATGGTGGCAGTTGCGTATCTGCAGAAGAATTTTGCAATCATAAACTGATTTATTATGAAGCAAGTGACTGCGGAAACGGATTTAAGTGTTGTATAAGGGTCTGAAGAGATTTTATGAAGTGTTTTCTAAATCATGCAATATAAATACTTTTTTTTTTTTGAAAAATATATACCAAACCATCATACATAATACGATTATTTTGAATACAATAGATTTATTTTATTTCCCACAATTTGATTGTAAACAGCTTAAAAAATATACAAATGTTGTGCAGGGGACTGGTGTCCAAACTAGGTACAAACCTGTATTATGGATCACCAGGCCTCCACTCCTTGGATAAATACAATCTTTCTAGTATAGAAATACAAATAAGAGAGAAAGAATGCAATTGCATGCTTGTGTATGTGTGTGTGTGTGTGTATTTGTATTTGTGTGTTTGTGTGAGTGTGTGTTCTGTTTACCCTACGCCAATGACTTGGGATCAGTTATCAGATTATAAGGATCTTAAACCACAAACCGAAACACTTATGTTGTTTAACATTATAAGAATTGGCAATTAACACTTAGCAAGTTTTCTGTCATACCAAAATCCTTCGTCTCCAACCATTTAGAGACATTTCTTTTGCAGGAGTTTTTTGTTTGTGGGAAGAGATTTAAAATTTTATTAAGTTTATTATATAAATAACTTCCCAAGAAAGTAAAAGATTTTTTTACGAAGCTCGAATGAGGTTTTATTTTACATATAGCATCCTAACGTCTTTTTACTTTTAATATTGATGGATCATATGGTAATAGAGAATGTTGCCTATTTACGGTGTATAAAATATAAAGCTGTCGAATCGTGAGGACTTGACATTTTTTATATAGATCGCGCGTTGGAAATGAGTACGGAAGGGAACGTGATGTTGAGAGTAGAGCGCGTTGAGCTCTTTCCAGTTTTATAAGAATAGATTTGGATGTTCCTCCCCAAATTGTGATTCCGTAAATTAATAGGGATTGGCATAGTGTTTAATATAACATTCTAATAATGTTCGAATTAGCTACGTTACGTAACCTCTTAACTATATACATTAATTTACGGGTTCTACTAGTAAGCATATCTATATGACTGTTAAAGCTTAGGTTATTATCTAAGTAAATCCCTAAATATTTAATACTATTAATGGACTGCAATTTTGGACAGTTACAGTTTTCCTTCTCGCTTAGGACAGAACAGTTATGAGAAGTATTTGAAAGATTAATAGTTGGCATATTTCCTTGCTTATTAAATATTAGATACTTCGTTTTATCAACATTTAATGTTAGAACATTATCATGTAATCATTGAGTAATTAAGTTAAAACCATTTTGTCTATAACGGAAGAGATATTCATAACTGTAAGCGCTAAAACCTAGAGTAGTGTCATCTGCAAATGATGTAATTTGATCATTTGCTATCTGTAACTTACATAGGTCATTTATGTAGACAAGAAAGAGGGTAGGACCTACAATACTTCCCTGCGGTACACCATAGGTAACAGGTAAATCCTTACTTATACTATTTCCTATCTTTATACGTTGAGTGCGGTTTGTTAAATAGTCAGTAAATAGGTTTAGTTGTGTACCCCTAACTCCAATTTTTTCAAGTTTCTTAATCAGAATTGGCATAGAGACCGTGTCGAATGCCTTGGCTAGATCTAGGAAAACTGCCATACACTTTTTGTTACTATCAAGTTCTTTAAAAATATAGTCTGTAAGATCATGGACCGCATCTGTTGTTGATAAACCAGATCTAAATCCGAACTGTGCTTGGAAAAAAGTAAATTCTTTTCAAGAAAACAGGTTAACCGGTTATTCGTGATCTTTTCAAGAATCTTAGACATTGCTGATAAAATAGATACTGGTCGATAATTATTTACGCGGTCTCTAGCTCCATTCTTATAAATAGGAAGGTTAACAGATTTATTAAAAGCAGAAGGAAATATGCTATTTGTTATGGCTAAATTACAGACATGTGTTAAAGATTGTGCTTTTATATGTTTGTATAATTTTAATATGTTAGCACTGATACTATCCCACCCAACAGCATCGCTTTTTAGTGACATAATTAACCTTTCGACTTATGTTATTTCTGTAGGCATTATTACTAAAGATCGGAGATTATTTACCATTTTGCTAGACGACGAATCCTCGATTTTTGACCTTCGCGTTTCTTTAAGTATATTCTCGGCAAGATTTTTTCCCACGTTTGCAAAGTATTCATTTATGTGTTCAATGTTAACATTTGGGTCTGTATAAGTTCAGTTGCAGGTGTTTCTACTTTTTGTCTATTTGTTATATCATTGATGGTTTTCCATAATAATTTTGGATTACTTTTGGCCATAATTAGCTCTTGTTCTTCGTATTCTCTATTTATTTTTCTCAATAAGTTATTGCAGAAGTTGCGATAACGGGTGTATGTTAATTTTAGAGTTCGTTGGTAGGATTATTTTTTAGCTTTTTGTGAAGTTTATCTCTATTTCGCATATATCGTAGTAGACCTGGAGTGATCCACGGCTTTTTAATTAAGTTACGTTTAGAAAGAGTGGTAACATAAGAATTGGATTTTATCGCCTGAGAGATACGGGACTAGGGCCCATGAGTAATCCCATCGACGAGCAGCATAGGGACGGGGCCCAACGGCCTATGGACAATTGACTTACACAATAGAGATAGGGCTCGTAGTATGTACCTGGTTCCGAAGCTAAGACCGTCCCAAGGCTCGGTCAGGCCGTAGGTAGGTGTAGGTGCGTGTAAGTAATGTATAGTAGTGTGTATAATGTTTGACCTGACCCAACCGTTAGATCCAGCGTTGCTTCTCTCCAAAGGTGGTAGTTCAATTTATCCAACCTCAAGTCTGACGTCACTTCACTATTTCAGTTTATCAACTTTATTGTACACTATTTCAATCCATCAACTTTATTGTACATTTAATTAACTTCAAACTCAACTAAAACCCCGTTAATCGTAATCAAAAACGTAACACACGGCACGATTAATGAACGGTGGATCAAAGGTCACTTCCGTTTCACGTAGCAACAAGATTATAACCACGAGCAAGAACGCGATCCCTTCTCGAGCCACAACGTTCAGCGTTCCTTAGCACAAATCTATAATCTAATACGAACACTGTTTCTCGCGGGTCACAAATTTTAGCGTTTAACCGACACAGGAAAATATCTCCGAGTTACATCCAATGCCACAAAGCAACTACTCGACGCAAAGTAATATTGTCAAGCACTTCAACCGGCAATCACTATACAATTTACGTAAATTACTTTCCAACGAATTTAGGTTAATCAATCAAATTATTACTGCTTCGTCATTCCGTGAACGCACTAAATATAACCAAAACTAAAAGCGAAAAACTCCCATAGTAAATTCCACACGCATCAAAAAACCGGACGTTGGTCGCAATCAATATTAAATTTCAAATAATTAATCGACCCGACGTCTATTTTTCTAGACTTAACAAACTCCTCGTCATTGCATAAATTTGCTAACAAAAACCGACACTAATTAGAGGTTATACCGGACGACCACGCCGTTCTAGAGACCGCACTGCATCTCTCAAGCTACTGGTCTCGCCCACGAGCGCCGAACGCCAGGAAGCTGCATACCGCTGCCCCCCCCCCCTCCGGCAACCGCACTTCACCTCACACCATCGGGCGATTTACTTAGTCAAACGCAATTGGATGGCGTTTCAAATGCCTATATTTGGCCTAAACAGTAGATGTCTATGGGCCACAGCAACAACTTACTATCAGGTGGACTTTGTGTTCGTTTGTCATGCTATCCTATAAAAAAAAACAATAACATAATAAAGGAGAACTTGCATGGTGGTACAACTAAAAAAAAGATTTTAATTTATAAATGTAGAATAGACAAGCCCTATTTAAATTCTCAGATTTTTTAACTTGGGACGTAAATTTATAACCCGTTTTAATTTTTAAGGTTATGTACTAGTGTGACAATGTAGATTTTTACATATATGCACATAAACATTGTTTTGGTGATAAAGTAAATATTCTAGATTGCTGGTCGCTATCTTTGTAGTTTTTTACTTACCATTTAAAAGGTAGATTGAGATGAGGATCGTACCAACTCAGCGGAGGAATTTGGAGATACCTACAAACAGCAGCGGACTGCACAAGTTTGATAATGATGAAGTTCTGATGGGGTTATGTGTGTAGGTGAATAAAACAAAACTTTTTTTGTAAGTACTTATAATTAATCAATTCTTTATATTATTTCATCTAAGAATAGATAGGTCGGGTAATACCCTCATGGCGAGCATAGCTTGGATACCAAATAATCCTCATCATATGAGGGCGGTGCTGCAGTCCCTTTAGCGGTGCCAAGTTGACTGTCGGTATATCGAAGTGCTGAAGTGCTTGTACAGTAGTGCTAAGATGGCTATCCGAGTACAGAACCAGAGTACGAAACCTATTCAATTGCAGAAAGGTGTAAGACAGGGTGACGTTATATCCCCGAAACTCTTCACCGCTACATTGGAAGACGTTTTCAAGCTTCTGGACTGGAAAGGATACGGTAGTAACATCAATGGCGAGTACATCACTCATCCGCGATTTGCCGACGATATAGTCCTTTTGGCAGAATCGCTGGAGGACCTAAGCACTATGCTCAATGACCTCAATAGTTTTTCCCATCGGATAGGTCTTAAGATGAACATGGACAAAACAAAAATCATGTTTAACGTCCATGTCAAACCTTTGCCGGTAGTTGTTGGGAGCACTAAGCTCAAAGTTGTTAACGAGTATGTTTACCTGGGACAAATAGTCCGACTAGGTAAGTCCAACTTCGACCGAGAGGTCGATCGACGGATTCAACTCGGCTGTTCAGCGTTCGGAAAACTACGACACATCTTCTCGTTAGACATACCTCAAAACCTTAAAACAAAATTGTACAACCAGTGCATGTTGCTAGTGATGACTTACGGATCTGAGACGTGGTCCTTCACTGCTGGCCGTATGAGGAAGCTCAAGGTCGCTCAGCGAGCTATTGAGCGGGCTATGCTCGGGGTTACTCTGCGTGATAATCTTAGAAATGAGGATATCCGCAGTAG